TACTCAGTAATAGATAACCACTACACTGTTACAATTTTGTATTTATGCCTCAATTGTTTTGATAATTAGGATTTGTTATTTACACGAGGAAAAAAATCAAGACACAGCTGTGTGTGGTGACTTTACTCATCTGGTGAGTGATAGAGCTGGGATATGCCCTCCAAAGCACAGAGGGCACCTGACTGGGTTTTTATATCTGGTACAAAGACTGAAGAAGAGATGGGGACATGAAAACAACAACAACAACAAAAGCAAACACTCGACTCAGTTTGATGTGTTTTTCTCCCCCTCCTTCTTTTCCATTCCACTTACTGTGAATGTGGGATTCAAAAACATATGCGGGGATTTGAAGATGGGGTACCTGGGTTCTTTAATGACCTGGGGCAAACCTCTGCACTTCTTTAAAAGTATTTTTCTTTTTATTTGTGTATGTGTATGTGTGTGCACACATGTGTGCAAGTGCCCAATGAGGCCACAAGAGGGTGCCAGATTCCCTGGAGCTGGACTTAAGACAGTTGGTTGTGAGCCACTCAATGTGAGTGCTTGGGCACAGAGCTTGGGTCCTCTGGAAGAATAGTGAGCATTCTTAACTGCTGTCCATCTCTTCAGCTCTCTCTCTCTCTCTCTCTCTCTCCCTCTCTCTCATGCTTTTTGTTTGTTTGCCTGCATACTTGGAAACAGGATCTCATCCAGACTCAGGCTGGCCTCAGACTTGAACTTCTGATGCTTCTGCCCTCACCTTCCAAGTGTGGGGATAAACAGTTGTGTGTCATGATGGTTGGCTTGACCAATCTCTGAAATGCAGGGCCTAAGTTGCTTTATCTGTTCCATGGGAAGAATGTCCCATTTCTGCCTTCCTTTCTAAAAAACCGTTGCAGTGTTGTGGGCAGAGAAGGCTTGTTTTGAGGAAGGAGCACCTCAACCTGGGGGCTCAGAGCCCAATCCAGCTCCCTCCAAGTCCTCCTAGCCCCACCCGTGTCCAGGTTCAGAGGACAGAGGGTTTGAGAGGCCGAGGGCCCTGACCCACTTCTTCAGTCTCCGCCCCTCGCTGCCCTTTTAGGTCACGCTGAGCTATTCAGAATGAGTGGAAATTTCCTCAGCCTGCCAGGAGCTTTCTGCCACCTTCCCTGTATCTCCACAGCTTCTTCCGCGCGGCACCCTTTCCGACTCTACCCTGCTCATCTTTCAAAACCCAGCCTGTCTGTTCCACTTCTAGGGTGCCACTTCTGATGTGGCTGGAGGCCTTCTGATTACGGCTCTAGCCTCTTGCCGAAGCGCCGAACTTCCAGCTTCTCTCTCTCACCCTAAGCCCCCATGGCGCAGCCAGTGGCCCCTTCTAAAATACACGTCTTGTTATTACCAGCTTAAAATAACCAGTCAATGGAATAATCCATCAATCAATGCTCCAAGGGCTCCTCCTTGCCCTCCAGGAAGGCAGCCAAAGCCATCGGATCATCCTGCACCCACACACCCTCAGGAGCTCTCCTAAGAGCAGGCCATGTTGGACCTGTAGCCGTGTCCCAGATGCTTGTGGGATATATTGGTTGGGTGGGTTGCTGATTGAGTAAGTGAATGGGGCTGAGGTCATGCTTTGCACCGTCACACATCTCTGCCGGCCCCAGAACTGCTATATTCCACAGCAGACCCATTTTATAGCCAAAGGGGAGGCAGGAGGGAAGGGCAGCTCTGGAGGGAGAAGAAAAATCAATAAAAATGTAAATCTGGAGTCGAAAAGCTGTCCCAGGCTGGCTGTGGGGAGAGATAAGACCGGGCCAGCTGAACCTTCGTTGACAGCAGAGAAGAGATTAGGGAGCAAGGGAGCTGTAGCCAGGGCGGAGCATAGGGGGTGAGCCTCGGGTCTACTCTGCCCCTCCTGCTCTCTGCTCCAGGTGCTGATTAAATCCTGTCGGAGACAGGAGAAGGGAAGGAAACTACAAATCATCAGGTGTGAGCCTGTGAGCCCAGGATGGTTCCTTACCTGTCTCCACAATCCTGGAGACAGGGTGGATCTACCTGACTTACAGGTAAGGAGCTGGGCGCAGAGGGATGTGGTCAGGGTCCTGCTGTGACTACATGGTGGTCTCCAGGTCTGAACTTATGTCTGACGTCTCTGCAGCTCCAATATGAAGGGCTTTGACCTGCCATACTGGCCTCTTAGGAAGACTGTACTGGGCTTTAGAGGGCCCCCTCCTCTGAAACCACACACAACTGTGCATCTTTGGATGTGTGTGGGGAGGAGAGTGCTGGCCAATTTTGTTTGTTTGTTTTGGATTTTGAGACAAGGTTTCACTTTGTAGGCCAGGCTGCCCTCAAACTCACCATCTTCTTGCCTCTGTCTCCTGATTACAGGCACGCATCCCACACCAGGCTTGGTTCATAACTTGATCTTTAAATGTCTTTTGTGTCTTTAATGAGGCGACCTCCCCCACTTGCCCCTGCACTGTCATGCCATACCGCCTCCCTGGAGGTAGAGGCTTTTGAACTGGGTCTGATGGAGGGTAGGTCCTCGTGAGGGGTGGAGAGAGGGACAGGAGGGCAGCTGGGCAGATGCAGGGGAAATGTTCAGCATGTCCAGGCAATGAATGGTGACCATGTAGTGAGCTGACTGTGGCTCCTTGAGCCAGGTCCCCAGGGGTGTCTGCTTGCCCCAGAGCTTTCCAGCTTCTCCAAGCAAAAGGGACCACAAGCCAGGCACTGAGATGCTATTTCTGGTGCCTGTCCCATCTGCTGCTGGGCCCTCACCAACAGTGAAGCAGGGTAGAGCCTGGTGCAGGGTAGAGAGACGGTAGCTCACAGACGCAGACAGATGCTCGTGTCTCTTCGTTGATGGGAGACTAGGTGTGTTTCCATGTGTTTCTTGGACTCTGTGGACATGAGTTCGTGTGTGTGTGTGTGTGTATATACATGTGCGGATTTGCATGTGTGCCTGTGCATGAATATGTATGCATTTCACTTTAAGTGTGAGTTGGTGTGTGCATAAGTGTATATGTGAATGTGTCTGTATGTATGTGTGAGATTGTGTGTGTCTGCAAGTGTGCATGTGAGTGTATGGAGTATTGTGGGCATGTGTGCGCATGTATACACATGTGTGAGAATGGGTAGCTTCTGTGTATGTTCATGTTTGTGTTGAGCGTATGCATGTGTGTGGGAATCTGTGACTGTGTGGACACATATGTGAATGTGAGCATGTGTGCACATGATCATATGAACTATGTGTGTGTAAGTGGATACAAGGGTGCGTGTGTGAGTTTTTATGTTTCTGTGTATGCAAACGTGTTTGCATGCTTGTGCATTTGACTATATGCATGTGTGCATGTGTTAGGGAGTATGTACCTGTGCATATGGAGGTGTATTCATGTATTTGTGAGCATGTGTGTGCCATGTGCATGCATGTGTGATTATACTTGTGTGTTTGTGTGTACGCATTTTCTCTCACAGTTTAGAGAAATGTCTTTTACCTTCTTTGCTTTTTTCTTGGCACGTGGCTGCACATCTTTCTTGCAGGGATGCCTACGACTTCTCACCTGGCCTGCAGAAGTGTTCATGGACAAAGGTGTGGTCCCCAGTTCTCAGCTTCCCCAAGGGCCATGTCCTACAGTGGTTTGAAGGCTTCATTTCCATCCCCAGTTCCCCCAGAGACCTGCTTCTGGTGAGGTGAATGCTTGGCGGGCACCTGGGCGGATCCTCAGATCCAGTGAGCTGCCCCAGGAATGTCGCTCATCCTCAGAGTGGGAAACTTGCAAAGGGAAGACACTTGAGCCACCTCCTCCCACCCCAGCTTCCCTCATGGCTCAGCAAGTGGCTTCTGGTTTCTAGGACCTGGGCCAAGGAGGAGTTGGGGGCTCCCTAGATGTGTTTATGTCCACCTTAGTTACTGCTATGCCTAGGGAAGTCACTATAGCCATCTCTGCATAAAGAGTAGCTTCTGGGGAACTTCCCAGCCACTGCCTAAATCATTTGGCATTATGATATTGAGGAGGCAAACACTGAGGCCATGGTTTCTGTTGTGGCTTGTGGCCCTGGAAACATAAACAGAATGGATCAGACAGGGGAGAAATAAGAAAGTGTATGAAGCTAGAGGCAGTCTGTGGAGAACCATGAAGGTGTGTGTAGATGGATTACAGATATGCGGGGTAATTATTTAATTTTTAAAAATATGCCATTTTTTTCTGGATGGAGTAGGTTTTTTGTTTTCTCATCTGGGTATTTACTTTCCTATCTAATTTTGTAAAGGCTGACTTCCCAACATGAAGCCTACTGTCTGAAAATCTCTAACACTCAAACTTCCTGAGTGCCAATGTAACTGCACGCATGGAATATTTCAGACCTGATTTCATGTGACGGGTCCTCATCATAGACAAAACATTAAATGTATTGCATAAAATGACTTTCAGGTTGTGTGGATAAGGTATGCATGAAACCTAGATGAATTTGTGTTTAGATTAGGGTCTCATTCCTGAGAGATTGAATGATAATGGTACAAATATTTCAAAATACAAAAAGATCTCAAATCCAAAATACTTCTGGTCTCAGGCATTTTGAAATGTATCCTCATAGTGCATTTGTTATTCTGCATTCTTCCTTTCATAAAAATAACTCTTCTAGGTTGTGTTAGCTTAGGTTGTGTCCAGCTCTGACCCCACCATTGTTTATACATGTGTGTGTGTGCATACATATATAATCATGTGATTACATATGTATTATTATAGACCCAAGCAAGTCATTTAACCTTTCTGAGGCAATTTCTCTTCTGTAAAATGTGAGTGATGATAGAAACAGGTAAGGATGGCCTCATGATTGTATTCCATTTTTGGAACCATTACTGGAGGAAATAAACCAGTCAAAGGAAAAATTAGACCAGACCATAAAAGAGGAAACAATACAAGATGCCAGAGTGAATAAACTTGGTGGGGCTGAGATCTAAATAACTGGAAGAGACATGGCTGACGCAAACCTCTAATGCAGTTTAGAAGGATAATTTTTTTGTCTTGGAAGAGGCATTATGCAAAGACAAATTTAATAATAAGCTGTGTGTATACAGTCAGGTTATTCCTGTACAACCTGGGGAGCAGGAGAAAAGACAGAATGAAAACCTGCTAACAGACTTGTCTTGGTGGAAGATACTTCAAAATTTTTGGCACTGATTGGTGTAGGCTCTGATACTGGTTAAACAGGATAGAATAGCGACTAGGCTCTTCATCTTTTTTCTCCTCCTCCTTTTTCTCCTCATCCTCCTCCTCTTTATTTCTCTTTATTCCTTTTAGATTTTTTTGAGACACTCTCATGTAGCCCAGGTTAGACTCAAACTCACTATGTACCTGAGTTAGGCCTTGAACTCCTGATCTTGTCCCCCAGTGCCAGGTCACAGACATGTGCCACCACACCTGGAAGGAATGAGGGCTTCTATAGCTCCTTCTTATGCACAGGAGACAACGCCTTGTCCCTTAGCTAAGAGCTAGGCACGTAGGGTAAGGACTGATGCTAGCTCCTTCTCCCCTCTCTTTGTGGCCACATGGGTGGGGTGTGTGGTATCAATATCTTGGACTGGGTGAAGATCAGGCTGCCTGGAAGCAGCTAGACCAGATAAGACTGGTCAGAAAGCCAGACAAGATCTGACTTGGAAAAGAACTGGGGATTTCAGGGGCTCTGACCCAAGTGTGCTGCACCATAGGTCTCTGTGCCAAGCTGGGATTTGCTCTTCTCTGCCCCTAGACCTCACACTGATCCAGGGATCTCAGAGAACAAGAGGTCAGCCCGATTTGGTTATCGCAGAATCACGTATTAGCTACAAAGCTCTGGGGATATGGTCTAGGATTCAATTCCCCAAAGCCTCAGTGTTTTTGGTGGCCCCTGGCCAAACGTGTGAGATCCTGACAACAGACATTTTGTAGGAGCAACTCTGAAAATAAACTGGTCTCTGAAGTTACAAGACCTCTAAAAGGAAGGATAGACCTCCCTTTCCCCAATTGTGACTTCCTGAAGATAAAAGCTCTGACATTCTGGGTCAGATAGGCCCTCTCCTGCCAGGCTAAGGCTCCTGACCACACACCTCATCAAACATGGTGTCCTATTCCTTCCTGCTCTTGGGGTGCTCCTAAATCTCTGGACTTTGCCTCCAGGAGGCGCCAAATAGACACTTCTTGAAGGCAGACTGGGCTTGGGGAGGAGGCCTTCACAGATGTGCACAGCTGGAGACAGAGCCTGAGAGCTGGAATCCCCTCCTACGTAAGCTTGGAGAGGGTCTCCATGAGTGGCAGAGCTGGGCTGAGGCTCTGTGTGGAGAAACACCATCTACCTTCCCATCCTAGAAGGGGCTGGGGCATGCCAGACAGTTCCTCCTCAGCAGCACAGCTTAGTCCTAGGTTGGTTGTCAGAGGAAGGAACAAGGACAACCCTGTTGCTTGAGAAATGATCAAAACAACAACTCCTTAGTTCCAAAGAGCAAGCAAAGCCAGAAGCTTGTTTAGAGTCACTTCACAATTTAGTGGAGAAGTTGGGATTGGAACATGGCCCTTCTGACTCCTCATCTTGGCAAAGGGCTCAGAGGATGCATGGCTGTGGCTGCCACACCGGACCAGGGTGGGACTGGGGCTGTTGACCTCCTGGAATCCTTGGGTTTCTTCTCTGGTCCTGATGCTTACAGTTGCTGCTGTAGGTCAGAGCTCTTCACGGTGACCTTGATGCTGGCCTCTTTGTTCTGCTGCCTCAAGATGGCCAAAACTAAGGCAAAACACACCACGGATCCACTTTTGAAGAAGAACTGGAGGCCTATGAATCTGAGGGAAGAAGGGGGAAACTTGAACTCAGGACCCACTCTTCAGGGACTGATTTTAGCTTCAGGGTGGGGATGGTAGAATCAGTAGACACTGAGGCCTGCCGGGCAGTGGTGACGCATGCCTTTAATCCCAGCACTCGGGAGGCAGAGGCAGGCAGATCTCTGTGAGTTCGAGGCTGGGCTGGACCGACAGCCTCCAAAACAATACAGAGAAACCCTGTCTCATAAAACCAAAAAAAAAAAAAAGACACTGAGGCCTGAGGAGAGGGGAGCTGGGCAGGGACTGGTGTGCTGGGTGAGACTAAACATCCCTCTTGCTTTGTCACTGACCCAGGCTAGGCCTCTCCTATTAATTCTTGAAGGTCTCTGTTCTGCAAAGCCCCCCAGACAGCCCCAGCCTGCGGGAACCGTGTTCCGTAGCTCAGCGCTAGAGGTGGCCGCTCCTTTGCTTTGTCCCAAGTTCTTCCACATCCACCCAGCCTACGATATCCACACCTTTGGGCTTCTATGAACTTCCCATTGTACAGACAGAAAGACTGAGCCCCAGAGGAGGGGTCAGGGATCTTTCCCCTAGGATGCAGCTGTCTGATGACTTAGAGGTGACTCTGTCATAAGAACCTGGGACTTCTTACTCTAGCTGACATTTTCCTCGCATATAATAAAGGGGAGCTATCCAGGTGTAGTAGCTCATGTGAATAAAACCAGCACTTGAAATGCTGAAGCAGGAGGATTACTGTAAGTTCAAGGCCAGTCTGACTGACCTAGTTAGTTCATGAATAGCCTGAGCATAGAATGAGTTCTTGACTCAAAAAATAAAACAAAAATCCAGGGCTTGGTGGCACATGCCTGCATTCCCAGTACTTGGGAGGCAGAGGCAGGAATTAGGAACTCAGGGCCAGCTTCAGTTATATTGGGAGTTCCAGACCAGGCATATGAGACCTCTCTTAGAGGTAGCCTCTGATTTGCAGGGTGGGTGTGTCCTGACATGGGTCTCCCCACCCTGGTGCTTACCGGCTTCGGAGCAGGTCGTGGTCATAGTAGCGGCAGACGGCTTGCCGCCCACAGCTCAGGGCCCAGAGCACACAGGTGGTGTCGATGGCACTGCCATGGATCACAGGGCTGGGCATCCAGGCTAAGGAAGGAGAGGCTCAGGGGACAGCAGAGGCTCACCATGCCCCAGTCCCCACCCTCAGCGCATGCAAGCCACAAGGCTGATAGATCTCTTGGCTCGGGAGTCTTTAGCCTCCACCATCCTCTAGCATGTGTCTGGAGGAAGCCTCCATCAGGCTTGGTGTGGCCAAGGCACAACACTTCCAAGCACATGGCCAGGTCTTCTTACCCCACACACCTGGGAGCCCTAAGGTCCCACGCAGGCCTGTGTCTCCCAGGCCTGGTACACAGCAGACATCTGGATGCCCATCACCACCACCAAGGTCCCCGGGGAAAGCTCTTTACCCAGCACTCTCAGGAGCATGAACTGCATTCCCACTGCCAGGATCTTATCTTCTTTCTTCACTCCCCTACCAAGAAAGACATGGTGGTGTGAGGACAGACCGAGACTCAGCCCCAGCACCGTGAAGCAGCAGGTTTCCATGGGGGGGGTTCCACCCCTCATGCCAATCTCCCCCGTCAGGCTGAAGGTCAGGGTGGTGCGGGAAGCTCAGAGCCTACACCTGTCGTTCCTCAACCTACAGAGCCCAGCTCCCTGCACCTTAGGTCCACATACCAACTGCCAGGCTCACAGACACCACTGTAGTCACCTCCATCCCATAGCCCCGCTGGATTCTCCACTGAGAGACCTGATCCCGGGACAGCTATGCACCAGGTAGAGTTTTCCCAGCACTGCAACCCTTTGGTCTAGGATATCCAGCAGCATCTGGCTTCTAAACAGTGTTCACAGCTGGCACTTAGGGGTGCCCCCTGCAACTCAGGGGTTCTACACTCAGCTCACTTCATCCCCAGGAGGTGCGCATGTCACCAACTCTATTCTGCAGTTAAGAGGGTTGACAGCTGTTGAGGTTAGAGCCAGCTACTTGCAAGTATCTGTTTCCTTTACATTCTCTCTCATGCCAGCCTGCTTTATGGACCTTCTATCTTCTAATAGTCTTTTCTTTTTCTTTTTCTTGTTCTTTTGAGACAGGTCCTTTGTGTAGCTCTGGCTGTCCTAGAACTCACTCTGTAGACCAGGCAGACCTTGCACTCACAGAGATTCACCTGCCTTTGCCTCCTGAGTGCTGGGATTAAAGGTGTGTGCCATCACACTCGGAACCTAATATCCCTTTCTAGTCTTCTAGCTAGCAGAAAAGTCCCAGCAGAGTGACAACAGAATTATCTTGCTCTCAGGTCTCCTTGTCCCAGCTCCTACCCAAGGACTACCATAGATGACAATTTGCTGGGCCCATGGCACTCTCAGGACAAGAGACAGGAAGATCTTAGAAGCCGCAACCTGCAGGTTCTGGGTCCACAGCAGGCCCTCATTACATGCTCAGGGCCTTAAGGGGAGTGTAGGACCAGCCCATGGGGATTCAGTTGGTTCCCTAGACATGCCTCTGTGTCCCACCATTGCAAGAGGTTAGATCCACCTTTTCTTCCCCACAGGGTGCCCTCCTCAGGGAAGCCAGGTCAGCGCCTGAGACCTCCCCTACCCTCGAACAAGGAAGCAGCTAGGCTATAAAACTAGCCCCAGATTCTGAACTTCTCTGAGCCTAGGCTCCCTGTCTCCAAGATGAAGAGAAAGCTTGGGCTGCCAGGGCAATGAAGACAGGACAGGGAGGAGCTAGCTAGGACATTGAGCGGCCTCATTCTTTCAACTCTTCCCTTGAATGCCCTATCCTGGCTATGAAAGGTTTCCTGGTACCCACCCTGCCTGCCCTGCTCTCACCTTAGGACGAGCATGAAGGAAGGTGTGTGGGTGATGCTGGCCACTGCCACCCCCAGGCTGATCAGGAGAATGAAGGGCAGGATCAGGCGGCTGCAGGCTGAATCGCAGGAACCTGCAAGCACTGTTCCATCCCCTGCCACACAGCTGCAGTTGGTGTAGACAGCCTGGAGTAAGGAGCAGAAGGAGATGGACCTTCAGGAGCCTCCAAGAGCAGCAGCTGGCCAAGGGCCTAGGGCCTGGGAAACTCCCAAGTGTCAACAGCCAGCAGGGCAGAGCTGGCTGGAGTCCCAGACTCTGTCCGTCAGTTGATCTGTGACCACTTGAGTCAAGCAAGGTGCCTGGAGGCAGACTGCTTAGACTGGGCCACAGCTGTGAGGCGGAGGGGCTCTCCAGGCAAGCCCTGGAGTGTTTGACGGCAGCCTGGAGGACCTCCAGCTGGGGATAAGCTAAGAAGTGGTCTGGTCACTATCGCCACTTTGGTGCCTGTGAGGAGCAAGGCCACGGCTTCTTTTTCCTTTCCCTTTCCTATTGGTTAGAGTGTCTATGTGCTTGTTTACTTGTGTGCACACACGGAAACCAGAAGAGGGTGTCAGATCCCCTGGGGAGGAATTACAGAAGGTTGTAAACTGCTGGTCATAGATTCTGGGAATGGAGCTCAGGTCCCCTGCAAGAGCAATACACTTTTAACCATTGAGCCATCTTTGCAGCACTAGGTCAGACCTTCTTGACGGGTGGATCACAGTTACCGGGGGCACCAGCCAGGTGTGCAGGGATTGGTCCCATCAGTTCTCAAAGGTGGTACCGCTGGCTAGGGTACCTGGAACCCCCAGTCTTCCTACTTCCTACCACAGAAACCTTAGATAATTCCCAGTATGAGAAGGGCTGAGAAACCAAGGCGTTATCTAGGGGCCTTGGAAGGATCCGAGCTCAGTGGCTCCTGGGATGGGCTGGATGAGCAAGGTCCAATGAGACCAATGAGAAGGTCCCACTGTCAGGGTGTATGGGGAAAGAATTTTAAGGTGGAGTTATTTAGGAGACGGAATTAATGAATGGCGAGAGGAAAGATGGCAGAAGGAAGGACACTGGGAATTGGATTGCTGGCTCTCCAAGATGTCTGCCTACTGCCATGCAGAGCTGACAGTCACGGCCAGGCTGGGATGGACACCAAGGCTGGACACTGTGCCTTCTAGATTCTTCCCCAGGCTTCCCTCATAGGCATCAATGCCCATGGGAAGTTCTCACGGTTATCTCCAGTCCTTCCCACAGTGCTGGTTTTACCTTATAAACCTGAGGTTCAGTCAGTGTCCACCTCTGCCCGCCTCACTCTGTCACCTACCTGGGTGCACCTCAGCTAGACCAGCCCATCCCAGATCCCAGGTGTTTGTGCTGAACCAAGGAGCTACATGTGGCAAGAGATAATCCCCTGATGGAAAGATGTCCCTGAGTGCTGACCCTCCTCCTCCATGTGGTGCATCCAGACCCCCACCTCTGGATCCAGTGCAGGTTGGGCTGAGGGTTAGAGACCTGGATTCTAGACCCAGCTGTGTAATAAGACCCTGGGCACTGTCTGGTTCTTTCCCAGGCCTTCATTTCCTGTCTGTACAATGGGCAGAATGAAAGTGAGTGCTTTACATCTCTAAGGCACCATGTCTCTTTGCTTCCTTGTTAGTGAGCTCACCAAGGTAAGCCAACTCAGTGCAGGGCCTGGGGTCCAGAACACACAGTGTGTGTTCTTCAAATCTCTCCTTATGCTGTTTCCCTGCCTAGTCCTCTCATCACAAGTCCTTGTTTGCCTAATGACCCTGAAAGATCTGTCACAGATGCTGCTTCCTTTGGAACCCTCTGGGACCCTCCCGGGTGGGCTGTGTCCCCTCTACTCTTGTATGTACTGGTAGGGACTACTTCTGCCCTCCTGCAGCCTGAAACCCCTGTGGTTCATTTCCTTGAGCAGACCAGCAGCTGGGAGGCACCTCTGGCTCCCCTCCCTGGCCCCAGGCTGGCAATGAAACTTACTGGGAGAGTGATGCTCTGTACCTGCCAAAGCAGAGGAAGAGACAGCAAGCGAGAGGGGGCAGAATGATAGGAAGCACAGACTGGGGTGAGGGGTGGGGGGGCTAGTGGGGCTGGCGCCAGAGGTTGGGTGAGAGGTTGGTCTTACCTGTCTTTTGCCCAGAACTTCCTGGACCACATGACCCGTACAGCCTGCATGGCAGGGTGTGGTGTACTCCACGTGGGCACTGGTGTCGCAAACAGGGTTAAAGTCATTCGATTGGCAGGAGCAGGGCTCTGCACAGCCAGGAAACAGGCTTGGCCTTGGCTGGGCGCTAGACAGAGAGAAGGCAAATGTGTTTGGCTGGGCTCTCCTCTCTCAGGGCCCTCTCTGCAGCCTGGCTCCTACTCTGAGAGCAGTGGCCAGCAATTTCAGCTGCAGCTTTTCCCTGAGGGAGACACTGAAACTAAGGGGACTTTCTAATGGGGGTAGTGAGGAGGAGTCTGGGTCAGTCAGCTGCGTGCCCTTCCAATCCTGGATTCTACTTGTCTGGAAGCTTCTGTAAACATCCTTGTGCTTGGATGGAGCACAAGAGAAATTCCTCCCAGAAGTGAGTGTCAGATAAAGGAGCCATTGTCTCTACAGGCTGAATTGTTGCCTTGTCTGGGCAAAGTACAGCTGTGACGGGGCCCTGGCGAGGAGACCAACTGGCTGTGGGGCCTCCGACCTGTGGCAGCTTTCCTCTGAGACCTTCAATTCTCTATTAGCTGGGCTGGGACTCCCGTCTCGCTGTCACCGGAAATCTCACAGCCTCAGTGTTCATTCTCCTGTTCTGCTCACTGTGTCACAAGCTGCTACCTCAGGACCTACTCCAAGATCCTAGGCGTGCTCTTGCCCTAGCTGGGGAACTGAGAAGGCAGACAAGAGCAGAAGCCCAAAGAGAGAAGCCCCAAGTCTGAAGAGGTGCTCTCTCTGGGGTGGGGGGCAAGAGGATGGCTTTGGGGCTCAGGCTGTGACCTGGCTTCATTCTACGAGGAAACGCAGCACCCTTGCCAGGTGACACTATCATCAGTAAAGTGGATATAACGATAGAATTCATGGTAGTGATGACACGGAGACTCAATGGAACATAGAGGGACAGGCTTCAGTGAGTTAGAACCCAGAACCCATGAATTAACTTATAAGAACTTTGGTGAGACTATGAGTGGAATGCCATTTCAGAGTTGAGGAAGAGGAGGAGGAGGAGGAGAAGGAAGAAAACACAGGCAAGCAGCATGGTCTGAGACCAATTTGAGTGAACTAGTTCCTGTACAACTAGCATCATGGACATCTGCCCAGAGCCAAGGTCTCTTGCACACCCAGCAGGCTCAAGGCGTCCCTTGTATGTTTCATTGGGTCCCCATGAAATCTCTACAATGGGTTCTATCATTGTTCTATTGCCTTCCCTGCTGACTTGTAAAGTGATGGTAAAATATCCATTGACTTCTCACTTGAAATGTCATTGGGAGGACCTGGTGCTTGCTCAGAATGGGGCTTCCTGAGGGCCTGGCTGCGGGCCTAGGACGCACTCTGCATACGGAAGGCCCCTACTCCAGACAGCCTCTCTGTTTGGGAAAAGGAGAGGGGAAGGAGAAAGAAGGGAGAAAAGCCCTTGGTGCTTTGATTTCAAGCTGAGTCCACAGTCATATGCCCAGGTGAGGAAACTCGGCACTTGAGTAAGGGAGGCTGTGCCAAGGAGAAGGAAGTTGGGGAATTCTAGCTGGGTGCTGGGCCAAATTAAGCTCACAACAGCTTCCAGGGAAAATGAGGTCATCATAGGAAGAGGCAGGGTTTCTTAACCTCTTCTGCCTCCTGGAGAAGGACTGCCCAGCAACCTGCTCATCCTTTCTCCGAAGCATGGAGCTTGTTGCTCTTGGGCAAATGTAACTTCAGCTGGGAACAAAAACCTCCCTCATGCTATGCTAGGTCCCACCTCCTATGCATGGCCTCTATCCCACTCTGCTGGCCCACAGGTCTTGGCATCCCTGGGAAATGCCATCCCATAGGTGGCTGCACCCTGACTCAACCTCTGGCCCTATCCAGGCCTCAGCTCTCCTGCCCCTGATGTTCCATCTATGCCTCTTCTGTGGCATTTGATGTCATCCTGTGACCACTGCTTGATTGTCCCTGAGTCCAAGGAAGGGCATGCGTAGAGCTTTGTAAGCATTGGGAGGAGACGGGAGAGGTGGGTGCTCCCTGAGGACCCTCAGCATGCACCTTCCCAGGCACATGCCTACTCACCCCAGGTCCTGGGTGATGCCTGCAATCTGATGAGTAGAGCAGCCAATGAAGAAGAGCGGCAAGGTGAGCAGCAGACACAACAGCGAGCCCAGCAGGCAGAGGATGCTGCACTGCACAGGGCTCAGGTGGAGACGCTTGACTAAGACACCTCCTAACACAATGCCCACAATGGACAAGGGGATGGTGAGGCTGCCAAGGAGCAGGTTGGCAAAGGAGGCTGTGATGGAAAACTGGCGCTCCAGGAACTTAGGCAGGAAGATAGCCATGCCTGCCACCATAGATGAGGTGCACACCTGGGACAGGACGACCAGCAGGAAGATGGGGTGACGCAGCATCCGCAGCAGCACCCTGGGGAAGACTGTTGGGACAAGTGGGGGAGGAGGTCAGCATGGGCAGCCCGCCACACCATCGATGCCTTCCGCCCCACCCCACCCTTCCACCATCCATGTCTTTCCGCCCCACCCCACCCTTCCACCATCCATGTCTTTCTGCCCCACCCCACCCTTCCACCATCCATGTCTTTCCACCCCACCCCACCCTTCCACCATCCATGCCTTTCGCCCCACCCCACCCTTCCGTTCTTTCCCGCTTCTTCCATTACATTCCATCTCATCCTAGTGTTCTAATGAATCCCAGGCTATCCCGTTACACCTGATTCCTTTCCTTTCTGCTCCGACTTTGAGATTCTCTTCGTGTCTTCCAGTCCTTTGGGTTACATGGGGGCGTATTAACATGTTTATTTCTGTTCAGGTCTGTTGGATCCGACACAGTTCTATCTCATGCCATCTCAATCGAATCTATGTCATTCACCCCCCCCCCCATCTCATTTTAGATTTTTTTTTTATTTCTATTGAATTGTTCTCCATTTCTCCTACTCCCATCAGGCCCTTTCCTTCTTGTCCTACTCTTTCCATGCCAACCTGGACTCAGGTCCTCTCTTTTTGTCCTCAACCCAGGTGCCTACTGCTGCCCTGATGTCTCACAGCCAGTGTGTGTTTCCCCAAGAGCACTGTACCTAAGAGATTACACATTTTATTCATTTAGCTGTTTTATTGCTACCTGACCCCCATTTTATTTTGGAGTAGTAATTTTTACGTATCATTTGCTTTATCTCTAGAGCCCAGGACTCACTAGTCATACTGTTTAATGAATAAGGACCAGATCAAATGTCCAAATGCCCGAGGCAGAATCTCAGGCCTCCAGAGAAAGGGAATCCTGGGCAGCCTTGGGCCAGGAGGCTTCCTGGATATAGGACATAGTTAGGACTAGAGAATGAGGGGACTTGGAGAGGAATTCCAGGTAGGGGTGTGGCCTGGACAGCAGCCTGGAGACAGGCAGTGGTAACTGCTGTTTTGGCAATGGGGACCTCACCAGGCTCTGAGTAGCTCCTGAATCCTGCCTTGGTGCCTCAGTCAGGCTGCCCACCCTGAAAGTGCTAATGGCAGGCAAATCCCTTCCCTCCTGAGTTCAGTGTTCCGGTGAGTTGGGTGTTCAGAGATGTCCAAGGACACTTTCTATTCTGCATGTGGTTCTCCACTGTTAGACAAAGAGTGGGGAAAGGAGAAGAAAAACCAGGGTGTACTGGTGAGGAGCGACAAAGCCGTATCATACCAGAACCTTTGTCCCTGTGTTATAGACGGCACATTCTATCTGTCCTCAGAGCATAGTCAAAGTAGCCTGGTCCCTATCCTCATGACCTGGGCCTGTTTCCTTCAGAGACAGAAAATAAAATCATCCCAGGAGGGGTGAGTAGGGGCTAACACTGTGGAATGTGTCCTCCTTCAAGTCCCTAGTCCCCTGCCTCCAAACTGCATATTCAGCTAGCATTTGGAATGGGGTAGGTGGCGTCCAGGTAGCTGCTGCAGCCCCTTCCCTCTGTCCTTTCCTTTTTCTCTCTCTCTCTTCCTGGACTCCCTTCCCCCTTCTCTCCTCCCTCCATGAGTGGCCCAGGGTATCTGAAGTTCCATATGAACTGAGAGATGTTTATATCACCTGGCCTTCACTGCAAGGTGGGCCCCAGAGAGAGGCAGGGACTTACTCAGGTTTGTCCAGAGCAAACCTGGGGGAAGCGTCACTCCAGCCCCAAAGAATCTGGAATGTTCTGGTCGAAACCCTCTCACCCATTAATCCTGCCTTATCTCAGAAAGCCTGTCAAGTGATGACCCCTCCCCCAGAGCTGCTCAAGACTACTCCAGAAAACAGATACATGGCTTTCCTTTCCCATCTCCTCTCTGGCTGGGGGGGTGGGACTGGAAAATCATCCGGGAGCTTTGCATCCATTAAACATCACTTTTCCTAATTTGGTTTGACTTGGTCTGATTTGGATTTGCTACATCGCTGGAGAGACTTATGGGTGCAGACACTTTTCACAGGGCACCTCTTGCTCTCCTCACTTCTAGCTCAGAACCATGCTCCCTTCTGCCCCTCCCACTCTGTGTCTGTTCTTTCTAGTCGCCTGGCTCTGGAGGACTCCATCCTGCTCACTCTGCTGTGCCCGGCAATGCAGTGGACTGCAAGCCCATCCCCCACCTCTCAGCAGCCACAGCCTTCTCCACAAGGGATGGAAAATTCCTGGAGGTCAGGGCCGTGCCTTTCCTTTAGCTACCTGAAGGGGAATTCCAGGGCCTGTCTCTCTCTCAGAGACTCACTCAGCACAGGTTTCCACAGCAGGCATGCCAGTACCTCCCTCGGCTCAGTGATGTCTGTCTCCCTCACCAGCCTTGCCAGCTCAGAGGCCGCAGAATGAGCGTGTCCTTAGTTTAGCGCTGTTTCCTCCCTCAAGTCAAAGGCCTTTCCTAACTCCTGGACCATACCACGCCCACCAGACAAGGCACTCCTCTAGCATCCTGGTCTCTTCCATCAGACAATGTCTCCCTCCATTTGCAGACTGTAGAATGTGTCTCCCCTATCATGTAACTTCCCCAGCCAGGGATTGTCTTCTCCAAGAGTTTCTGTTCCTTCTGCATCCCCCATGATTGGAGGTGGTCAAATCCAGGCCCCGGAGTCAGAATGGTCCATGTAGAGCCTTGCTGTCCAGAGGCCAAATTGGCAAACCAGTCACAGGGCCTACAGAGAGGCCCGTTTCTGACTTCTATAAGGTTCCTCTAGAAGCTGAATGGTCCAGAGAAGAACTGGCCCAGACCACCCCAGCTCTAGGATTTAACTTGCACAGCTGAGCCCAGCTGTGCTGGAGGCAAAGCAGTGATTAATATGTTCTTCCATGGTTTGGTGTGCTGAGGCCTTCCAGCAGTTGGGGGTGACAACGATCCACAGTGCAGGCCACTGCCTCTAGGCCCAGCCCCATTCAGACAGTCCCTTCTCCAGATAACCCAACATCAAATTTTACGAAACAGGCAAAAAGTTGTATCCAGTTCTTTCCTGCTCCAAATGTCTTTCTTTGGTGAAGGGTGAAGGGTCCCTTTGGATAACACCTTTTGAAACCACAGTAGATCCACTTTCTGTTTAGGCGTAAGGTAGATGTGCTCACACCTTACACAGGCAGTTTTAAAAATAGTAGACAGGACTATCTGTCCATGCCTCATCCTACTTGACAGTCACACCAACCCTTGAGAAAGGCAAAGCAAATATCACCAATCTAATCTTTACATGAGGAAACTCAGGTTAGAGACGAAAAAAGAACTTCACTAGACCGTACACTGACCAGTGTCTGGCAGGCCTTACATCAGGGCTTTTTGACGTGCCTAGCACACAGCAGGCACTCAATCAATGTCCACAGGGTTGAGTTCTTTAGAAAGTGCTGCTTGGTCCCACTGTGAGCTCTGGTAACTGACTGATTGATTTTCTTGTGTCAGGATCAGGGTAGCATGAAGTTTCTGTCAGTGAGTCTATTTCTTACTGTACTGAGAAATTGTCCTGGGAATTCAAGGCCCACATAGAAGCAAGGGCAAAGAACCATGGCTTTCTAACCATGCCACAGCTTGGAGATTTAATGAGCATTTACTCAAGGCTTCCTGCTTGCAGGCTTAGAGGCAAGCGGGTGAAGGACACAAGCTTTGATCTCCAGGAGCTCACTGCTTATGGCAGAGGATGGGCAAACACAAGGCAGAACTAAGACAGGAGCCCCAAGGATGTTGAGAGTCCAGAGGACAGTGCCATGTAGCCTTGTCACTGGTGGGAGCCAGGCATATCCAGGGGACAGAAGGGCTCTTGAACATGACCAGCAGAGACAAGAATGATTGTGATGGACATCAGTAAGAGAAGATGTTCTTAGCAGAGAGGTGTACATGACCAACCTTACCAGGAGTGTCTGGACTCATGAGAGGACCATAGATACAGATGAACTAATACAGACAAACTTTAAGGACTGTGCTTAGTATAATCTCAAAGGCAGCTCTTGTTTCCTCCCTCCATTTTCTTCTGGGCTCACTTACCTTTGATAAACTGGACTACGGTCAAGTCCGGGGCAATCTGAGCCAATCCAGCCTCTTTCTTTAAGGGCTCCTGCTTAGAGGAGAGCTCCTCACCCTAGGAAGACACATAGCCAGGTCCAGTCAGCTGGATGCAAGAGATCCTGTTCAGGGATAGTAGGGGGATGGGAAGGGAGCTCTGGTACCTCATCAGGAGCACAGGCCACTAGTCCATTGGTTCTTGGCCCTCTAGGTACTCAATAAGAAGACTTGAAAGACCGAATGAAATTCTTGTGGCTAAACTGTAACATGTCACCTTAACACGATAAACACAATTCTGGTGACAATTATTACCATAGCCACAAACTATCATCAGTCCTAACATCTCTACATATTTCAGTACTATCTCCATAACCAGTTAGATGACCAATTTATCCATAATATTATTATCATAATATTATTATCCCTACCTCTGTCCTGGCCACAAGATATCTTGTTATTATCCTTGTTGCCTGTACCTTCAAAATCACTGCCAATATTGTGATTATAATATCATCACCCTTGTCTTTAACATAATCATCTTCATCAATGTCAATGCCACCAACCTCATCTCTATCACCAAATGACTAATGCCACTAAAACGGACATCTCAACTCACAGTCCTATCACCACTGCAGGCACCAGTAATGCTTTCCTTACTGACATCATTATCAATGCCACTGACACTATGGGATGACTAATCTTTGTTATCAACTTGACACACCTAGGAACCTCAACTGAAGGAATATCTTCATCTGACTGCCGTGTGGGCATATCTGTGGGTCATTTTCTTGACTGCTAATTGATGTAGGAGGGACCAGCCCACTGTGGGCGGGATTATCCCTAGGTAAATAGGCCTGGGCTGCAATAAGAAAGTAGTTGAACATGAGCCTGGAGAAAAGCTCCATGAGTAGCATTCCTCCATGAGATCTATTTCAAGAAGTTCCCCTGTTGGAACTGCCTTCCTGAGTTTCTGTTCTAACTCCAGCGTGGACTGTACCCGTGAGATGAAACAGTTTCCTTTCCAAGTTGCTTTTGTTTGAGGGGTTTATCACAGCAACAGGAGACTAAGTTGTAACATTTCACCCAGGTTATCTATCCCATGACCACTATCATCCATCATCAGTGTCACCATTATCCTTAACAACATCTTTGACATTCTAATCACCTAACATAATAAGCACCCTATGGTGCCTGTGGTCTGATGTCAATGCATTTTTCTCTACAGCCTGAAGTCAGAGTCAGCAGTGTCAGGGGAAAAGACTTTGGCCGGGTGTAAGGAGAAGCCAGTTCTCTGGAACAAGTTTGTGGGTGGGGAGAGTAAGTTGAGCTTCTCAGACGTTGAGATGGACACCTCTTTCTCAACTCATTTATCTTTTTCTTTTCTCTTTGAGACAGGGTTTTTTTGTTTGTTTGTTTTCAATCTTAGGTAGGGTTTCTATTATAGTGATAAAACACCAAAAAGCAAGTTGGGAAGGAAAGGGTTTATTTGGCTGACACTTCCACAGCACAGCTTATCACTGAAGGAAGTCAAGACAGGAACTCAACCAGGGCAGGAACCTGGAGGCAGGAGCTGATACAGAGGCTTTGGAAGGACGCTGCTTACTGGCTTGCTTCCCCTGGCTTGTTCAACCTGCTTTCTAATAGAACCCAGGACCACCTGCTCAGGGACGGAAACACCCACAATGGGCTGGGACTCCCCTCCTTTCAGATAACTCTAGCTCATGTCAAGTTGACATAAGACTAGCCAGCACAGTCTTACCATGTAACTCTGACTGGCTTGGAGCTCATTTGTATACCAAGCTGACCTGAACATGTGGCAAAGTGATCCCCTTGCCACTGCTCCTGAGTGCTAAGATTTTAGGCATGAGCCTCTGTGCCCCAGCTTCACGTCTTAGTTCTCAGGAGAGTCTCATGCTTGCTTTCCTATTTCAGAACCCATAGGCCACTCTATCACAGACCCACTGTGCAAACTCCCCCTGCCTTGCCCTGCACTGGCGGCCAAAGCTTGACCTGTCTCTGCAGGCAGCTCACTCAAGCATTAATCTAGGCCTGCCATCCCCCTTGGGATCTGCCTTTCCATCTTCTTACATTTTAGCTGGGCGCAGGTTTGGGTTTCCTGGCCTGGGTCTGGGGAAGGGTGGTGGCAGGGCAGAAAGCACTAACGGGTTTTGTCGTTCTCTCAGTGATGAAGAACAGAAATTAGTCTGTGGCAGGAAGTGAGTATGAGGCAGGCAACAAGCAGCCTTTAGCCTCTGTTAGTAGCAGGGAGCCATGTACCTCAGAGACTGTTCAGAGAGACAGGCCTCCCAAACTCCCCACCATACCAGGATGCCTCTGTTCAAGCATGCCAAGGGGAACCATTTGGGCCAGGGTGGCAGGTGGGCCTTGGCACAGTGACCAGGGTTGACTGATGTTTGTCCTTACGGGTAGAGCTGGGGCCTCTGTGGTGAGTGGTCACAGTGTAAGATCTCAGGGTTTGCTTTACCTTCGTGGAGTAGCCCTGAGAAAGAGTAAGGTTGACTTTCTGGATGGTCTGGGAGACTAGGAATTCGGAATAGAAATTAAATTGATTTTTAAAGGAATGAAACAAATATCTATTTTACAAACACTTAGGTCTGAGTCAAAACTTGTTCTGGGTCTGTGTTGCTTCCTGCTGGATAGGGTTCTGTATAAGCAGGCAATGTTTTTTTATCTCATTCTCTCTTTGAACTGTGGTGTTCATTACAGGGGCCTGAAGCAAAATCGTATCTGATAAATCTCCACTGAAAGAACTGGTGATGGCTTACACCAGCTGCTCTCGGAAGAAAAATAAGAAAAGCAAGAGGAAATGCTGACACACTTGGAGGCAGCCCTCAGACTGAGACAGTTCAGAGTCCGTCAGTGAATTATGGAACTCCCCAGGGTCTAGCAGAACTGAGTGAGATGCCAGGAGATGCTAGACCTCGGATGTATGAACTTGTTCTTTCCTCCTCAGAACCTGCAAAGAGTAGGGGATGGGGAGTTCTCTGCTTCTTCACTTGTGAGGAAACATGCTCTAAGAATGGGTATCTCACAGCTACAGAGTGGTACAATTAAGATCCAAGGTTTTGTGGTGAGTTGCATTCATCATTATTCTGGGTTATAGTGGTCTCTGGGTTATAGGTTGGACATGCCTGCTATAGCCACATTATATAATGCAGCAGTCACAAGTCACGTGGTGACTAAGCACTTAAAATATGGCTAGTCCAACTGAACTATGTCACAAGTGTATATATATATACATATATATATATGTGTGTGTGTATAATTGTATTTTCAAGTTATAGGAATAAACTCTTTATATTATTAAATGCCAAAATTGGAATATTTTAGACATAGTGGAATGTGTGTATGCATGTGTTTTTATTTTTTAAGACATGTCTCCTGTGGTTCAGATTGACTGAAGGTGACCTTGAACTCCTTTTAAAACAGAATCTCACTGTGTAACTCAGGCTAGCCTAGAGCTTGCCATGCCTCACACTCCTGGTTACCCTCCTTCCTCAACTCCCAGAGTACTGGGACAACAGCCATGAGCTATCACGTACAGCCGACTTTAAAGTCCTGATCTTCCTGCCTCAACATCAAGTGCTCGGATTACAAACCTGTGACATCATGCCCAGTTTAAATTTACTATTACAAGAAATCACATTGACTTTTGAATGTAGCTAATAGAGACTTTAGCACCACACACACACACACACACACACACACACACACACACACACACGTCTTATAACCTCTTTTGGACACACTGCCACAGAGAGGACCAGGGGGCCTCTTCTTTGGTAGGCCTGGTCACATCATGGGAGAATGGTGTGACCAGGAGAGCCGAGGGAAAGATGCCAGGAGCGGAAGAAAGTAGAAGCTAAATGGCACAGCCTGACGACTTCCCCACATGTATCACCAGGGAGGAGCAGGCTCGCCCTTGAGAGCAGGCAGAGTCTTGTAAGCTCTGTCCCCCGGGTCACATGTCACCTGCCCTTTGCATTGCATTCCTGTCAGGTTGGCTGCACTTTCATGTCTGCCCTGTCACTTCAGCTTGGGAGCTGTCCATTTGAGACTGGACATCCTAGTGCACTCATTTGGTGAGTGGGAAATGCCACCAAGAAGACATGGTAGAGCAGGCCATCAAATTCAGGTTCTCCGGTACCCACCAGGGTGTGTTGTTACAAAGGAGACAGAGTTTGGGCTTGGAAGAGGAGAGACAGATCTGCAGGGGCATGGGGGTTGGGCTGTCAGAAATGGTGTCCAGAGAGCAGTGTGGATAGAAAGGAGAGGTGACAGAGCAGGGCACAGGTTGACTTGAGGCACGGAGGTGGATGGAGCCTGCCTTGGGGTAGACCCTGGGTACCACCGAAACCCGACTACAGCCAGCACTTCCTGGGGCAGCAACTGGGGACAAGTGACAGACTGGAGCTAGACCTTGGAGGTCTATGGCCAGATGAAGGGATGGAGACTTTATTCTGGGGGTGTCAGGAGCCCCCAGTGCCCCCAGATTCATACACCCCATGCTTTCAATTTGTTTCTATCTTTGAAACGTCATCTGTTTTGAGGACCGCTGACTAATAGTGGGTTCTTCAGACAGGAAGCACTGTGCTGCTCAAAGCAGGGCTTGGGATGACCCATCTGGCCTGCGGTTTGCTCAGGTCAGCAAGCCTGGTAGGACTTCCTCTCTTGGGGCTTGGTGCTGACAGCTGCAAGCCTACAGGGCACACATGCTGTGGAATAGGACTCGCTGTGGGCCTCTAGCCATCCTGAAGCTATTTTTGGGGACAGCTGAGGTCCTAGAAGTCTTCGTCCTGGGGGTAGGTCCCCATCTGATGGAGTCAGAGCTGGAATGCCAATCTTGTGTCATCACAGAAAGTAGTCACAGGCACGAGCTCTCTGAGAGCTGGAGACCCTCTAAGGGGGCGGGACAGAGCACCAGGGCATCTTGGCCTTCGGTTTCTTCTGATAAGACTGAAGCAGGCCATCAGAAGCTCTGAGTCGACCAACTGGCTCACTTGTCCTCCCGGAGTTGATGACCCCACCCATGTATGCTATGGTCTCATTCCACAG